CATCCATCCACCCACCCACCCATCCATCCACCCATCTACCCACCCACCCATTCATCCATCCATCTACGCACCTACCCATCCATCCATCCATCCACCCACCCACGCACCCATCCACCCATCCATCCATCCACCCATCCATCCATCCACCCACCTACCCATCCATCCATCCATCCATTGTAATAGATTATTAAAAACAACCTATTTATCAGAAAGTGTACTGGACTCAGAAAATCATTGTTTCACATGTGTCTCTAATTCACTATGGTTGAATTAGTGAATTCAACTGATTCCACCTGATTGTGGGCAGATCCCATACTCTCTCTGAACCTCAGTTGTTCTTAGTTGTGAAGTGGGGTAATTGTCTCTACGAACTTCACAGGGAACTTGTGAGCTCCAAATAGATGATGTGTTTGGGAGCATTCTGTAAACCAGAAAGGGCTTTGTAATTGTGAGTGTTACCATTGCTACCCCTGAGTGCTAGGCCCTGTAGGGGCACAGTGATGAATATGACTGGAAATTTGCCCTCAAGGAACACACAGTCAAGTACAATGAGATAAAGGAAGCACATAAATAATGCTGGTGCAGGGAATACAGTGATAAGTTAGATACAGGGAAAAAGCTGTGGGAACTCAGAGGAGTCCAAGATAATGTCTGGCTCTAGGGGGGTGGATCAAAGAAGGAAAGTGTGTTTGATGTTGTTTTGTGAAAAAAATTCTGTGACACATGCTAGGACCGAGAAGAAATAACTAGGAGTTTCCAAATTTTTGCTGGCTTTCTGTAATTCCGCAATTCAGTCACCAAATGCTGACTCAGTCTCGTTTTGCTTTGACCCAACAGGAAAAGGAACTGCAGGACCAGGCTCTCCTAAGGTGGAAGCTTCAGTCTGGAGATCAAGTTCTCAGAAAAACGTGACTCTGTGGGATTCAGTAGATCTCAGAGACTAAGCTCATACTTTGTGGTCCGTAGTTATCTGAACCAGGGGAAATTTGAGAGGAGCTCTATCCTAGGCAGCAGAGAAAACAGAAATTCAGATAAAAGGGGCTCAGGGGATCTTTCTTCTCCCAAGATCCTCATTTTACGGCAAGAAGACCAAGACCCAGAGAAGTTGGGGATGTAGCCAAGGCTGTATATAATGTAAAAAATTGTGAAAAATTCAGTGCTCTTTTGCATACACCATAAGAAAAGCAAGGACGGGGCAGGAAGGAGCCTTGACCAAGACCAGGAGCCTGCCAGAATCTCCCCGATGGGGTCTGGGAAGATCCTCAGCCTCCGTGTCCTTGGGCACTTTTGGAGGGCCTCCCCTGAGCCCTGCACGTGCTGGCGGGGTGGTCCTGTGGGCTGCGGAGTCAGCTGTCCCAGGGCAGAGGTGAAAGGTGAGTACAGATGAAAATGCTGTCAAAGGCCCTGGAGTCTTCATCTCTCCTCCCCTCTCCTGGCAAGAGACACGTCTCCCTTCTGTGATGTGGGCACCATGACTTCTGCCACAAACTGGCCACAAGTCCCCGGGTGATAGTGAGCAGAGAAGGTGACAGTGGGGGTGAGGTCCCGGACTGTTCTCCTTCCCTCTGCACCCAGCCGACATGCTGCTCACATCGTAGGCTCAGTGAGTGCGCTGCAGAGTCAGGACTCGAACTCAGAGCTCCCGGCCTCCCATCCTGTGTGTGGGCTTACATGGTGCAGCCTCCTTCCCTCCCAGCCAGCCCAGGCCGTGAACACGCTCAACCGGGGCCCTGTTTCACCCCGTCACCTTGTTTGTGCTCTGACTCCCTTTCCTGGGAAAAAAATATCCCACCTTATGAATAAAAATAACCAAGATACTTGAACTAACTCAAGGGTGAGAGAGTCAAGGTGGCTCAGGGGCATCTCTGGGTGCTGGGGGTGGGTGTAGGGGGAGGAGGACAACTTGGAGAAGGAGTTGGTGGCATGAGGAACCAGCGCCTATGGTTCCCTGTCTCTGGGGACTCTAAAAATATCCAGCAGTAATAGACCTTGGCGGTTCCACTCTCCCCTGGCACGGTTGCCTTCAGGTCCCTGGGCCTCCCAGGCTCCAGAGAAGGACTCTTGTTAATGAGAAGCAGGGAAGGGGCCGCCTCCTTCACTGCAGGAGAGCGTCATTAGGAGAGATCCTGCATTTAGAGCCTCCTTCTCCTTTGATCCACTTGGAATAAGCTGCCACCGTCCTCCCTCCCCTCCCCCAGCCACCTGGATGGCATGCGCTCCCCTACCAAAACGAATGACAAAACTGTGGTGATTGGTTCTCTCTCCTTCCCCCACTTTTATTTTCAAAAATGCATTCTTTTGCTCACTGCAGTTAATTACAACCTTTCAGAAAAACTGTGAAATGAAATCTTTCTAGAAAGCCTAAAAATATTTCTGTCTCGCAGGTAGCATGTGGAGACTATATTGTGGGAACTCAGGGGCACTGGCAGGTTCTTCAGGGTAGTTTCCTCCCGCTGGCAAGTCACTGTGGTATTTATTCCCCTTCTAGCACTCAAGGGTTGGAGTCAAAGGCTTGGCCATGGGCACCAGGGTGCTGTAATGTTGGCTTGTTCGCACAGAGCTGTTCGGAAGCATAAGTCAGCTAACACTGTTTTGAGAAGGGAGATCATTTCTTATATTTTTAAAATTATTAGATAGAGAGAGAGAGGCTGCTGAGTTGGACTCTGACTCATGGTGACCTTATGTGCAACAGAACAAAATGTTGCCCGGTTCTGTGTCATCCTCACAATTGCCAGCATGTTTGAGTCCACTGTTACAGCTATTGTGCCCATCCATCTCACTGAGAATCTCCCTTGTCCTTGCTGGCCCTCTACTTCACCAGATGGAATGTCCTCCTCCAGCAATTGATCCCTTCTGATGAACGTGCGCAAAGCAAGTGAGTGGGACAATGTTCTGTTGGGATCCATTGGCTAATTTTTGGAAGTAAATCACCAGGCCTTCCTTCCTCTCTTAGTCTGGAGGTTCCACTGAAAGCTGTCCACCACGGGTGACCCTGCTGGTATCTGAAATACTGGTGGCATAGTTTCCAGCACCACAGCAACACACAAGCCACTACAGTACAAGTGTTATAGCCCTGGTGTGAGGATACAAGTCAAAGACACAGGTAGTTTGGGGTGAGGAGACACCAACCGCATCCCTTCTAACCCACTTAACAGCTGCTGGAATCCAAACCAGGAAAATCAATGTCCTCGGGGGTCATTAAGCCAGGTCCTCAGGGCTTAGGAAGCACATGGGGAATGCTGGGCCCCTGTGGGTATTCTTTTGGTGCCATGTGCTATGCCTCCAGCCCCTGGGCCAGGTGGTGAAGGAGTGCAGGGGCAAGGCACTAAGCACCCCAGGCCTGGGGGCTCACAAAGGGCACAGCTTAAAGCCTCCTTGCTTAAAGCAAAACTGATGGGTAGAAGTCTGGATTTCCAAAACACAGACGAGGTGTGATTATTTGATTTGCAAGAGTATTCCCAAGGCTTCCATTACTGATGACTTGGAAATCTATATCGTTGGCTCAGACCTCTCTCCTTAGCTCCATATCCATATATCCAATCACTACTGGACATCTCCACTTGCACATGTATGTCCCTCAAGTACCTCAAATTTCACCAGGTCTAAAAATGAACTCTTAATTTTCCTCCTCCCACCCCCAACCTGATTATCCTCCCAGATTCTCTTTCCAGGTTAATGAAATCACTGTGCGCTCAGTCAGGAATCGTGCAAGCCTCTTCCACTGTTCCTTCTCCCTTGTCCACCATGTATAATAAACAGGTCACCAAGCCTATCAGTTCATATTCCAGTGTGTCTTTTGAGTCCGTGCCCCGCTCTGGGTTCCAGATGCACAGAAGGTATAAGTGAACTCCTGCATCTCTCAGCCACACTAGCTGGGACAGGCTCTGTGTTCCCCCATGTCCGCCTAGCTCCCTCAGAGCTGCCAGGCCGACCTTCAGGAACATATGCTCAGTGAGGTCACTGGTCTCTTGCTCTAAAAACCCCGAATGGCTCAGACCACTATCCAAAGTCCCTACCTCCTAGCCTGGCATTTGAGGTCCTTCATGTTCTAAGCCTGCTTTTGGTCTTCAGCCACATCTGCCATTCAACATGTTCTCCTCACATGCTACAAACTAGTTGCTGTCAATCTGTGGCAACTCACGGTGACCTCGTGTGTGTCAGAGAAGAACTATGTTCCATAGGGTTTTCAATGGCTGATTTTTTGGAAGTAGATTGCCAGGCCTTTCTTCCAAGGTGCCTCTGGGTGGACTCAGACCTCTAACCTTTTAGTTAGCAGCTAAGATCATTAACCATTTGCACCACCCAGGGACTCCCCCTAGATGCTAGCAGTCCTAGACACACAATACACCTTAAAAATCTCTGTGCCTCTGGACACATTGCTAGCTGAAGAATCAGGGAGGGCTGGGGTAGAAGTCTGTGCTCAGAGTGCAAAGTCGCGGGGGAAGGTACCCTGTAGCACATATCCCCCACCCCCAGGCCTTCCAGGTGACCAGGAGTCCAA